ATGGCACTCTCTTGATGCAAAGATTGTATATTCTCCAGATCTTCCTTTAAGAGCCTTGGACCTGACACTCTAAGAGAGGTTAATTGAGATGGAATTTAAGGGGCATTGAATTTATTGTAACATTTCTTCCCATTACTGAGAATACTCTGGCAAGAGTGTGCAGGCTGCACAACGCATGCTTTTCAAGGCTCTGAGAAATGAATAGGTAGATAGTTTAGCCTATGGTTGCCAGTGACAACATATTCTAAAGGGAGAAGCTCCAGCAGTGGAGGAGGTCCCAGGGATTACAACCACCCCACACTTACCTCAGGTGGAAGAAGAAGCACAGCTGGAGCCTGAAGCGCCTTGCCGTCTTTCCTCAGTGAGTGCTCTGTCCAGATTGGTAGTCAGGGAGCTCAAAGCAGTACTTTCAGCCCCGAATGAAGGAAGGGACTGCAGCTGATTCACAGTTAGTGAATTGAGTGAATTGATTTAAGTTGCTTTACTGTTGAAGGCTGTTAGCCAGTTAATGGAAGGAGCTGAACCCTGAATGAACAGCTGACCAAATAGCTGACCCACTGATTGGCTTCTGTCGAATCAATTAAAAGGGCCTAACCAGGACCCCAGTGGCGTAGAAAAGACTGCTATACTTGTAACAAGGGGTCATGCCCGAGTAGAAGAATTTGGATAATATCTAGGGGGTGGTAAGGGAGGCAGAGCGCCACAAAGAAATTCCTCCAACGGGCCCAGACTTATCAGCCAGCATAACCAGCTCCCACCTCGGAAAAAGGATCAGAAACATGGCAGGTGAGAAAGGCGACACAGGAGACCAGCTGTGATAGCATTGATCCTCCATCCTGGAGGCTGTCCTCCAGTAAGACGCTGGGCCGGAGAAGGCCTAGGCCATACAGTACCTACCCCCAACGCAGATATCCAAGGGAGGTATTCAGCTACAATAATAATGTGTCAATCTGGACTGATAGTATAATATTGCTTGTTATATCTTGCATTTGCTTTCTATCATTTTCAGTTATTTCCATTTATTCTTTCCTCATTATTATAGACAATTTAGGAAAACAAAGAGGAACAGGAGTTTCTTCACCTATAAATGATGATTTAAAATGTGTTGTATTTTTTGAGTCCTTTACTCAGCTGACTCTTTCACTTTTTTCATCACATGAAGAAGACTGCCATCTGGCTTTGCTTTGTGATCACTGATAAAGACAAATTAACTTAGTATACAGTCTGTAGTTTTGCACATTCCATGGCTATTAAAACTGTGTTGTCTGTTGTTAATAAAAATTTTAAAACTGTGTAAGTACGTTAGCATGACAAAACAATGCAACACAAGGGGTATATCACATCTAACTGCATATTTGTTTGTTTCTCTCTCTCAGGATAGAGAGGCCCAGAAAGATTTAGAAACTTTACTTCTGACACTGAAGCCATGATTAAAAGCACTTTTAAGTTTTCCTACTGTGAAGGTACTGTAGAAGATCAATGAGAAACTAGTCACAGGAGACTTTCAAAACTTGTTGAAGCCATGGAATAACACTCATTGATTTCAGTGGGATATGGTTCAGGTCTTTAAGCAGTTAGGATATGCAAATAATGTTTTCCAACTTTTTGAATCATAGCTTTATTTTTAATTTTTGGATCTAAGATTTGTTTTAAATGGTTGTTGCTGGAAGTTTATTTTTCTTACCATGAAGTCCACTGCTGGCAATGGACAGACACCGCAGAGGCTAGAATACAAAATGCATTAATCTGTGTTCTTTGAAGGATCAGTTAATCTGCAGCATTAGCACAGGATTGTGTGCAGCATTAGCTGCTTTGTTTTTACATTAAATTATATTCTTGTCAACTGATCTGTATAAATATTTGTGAATGTAAATAATGAAACATATTGTTATATGTGTGTTCCTCTGCTTTTACTCACAAAAATATGTAATCTTAATGAAATTAAGGAAAAAACTAGTCCTAAAAAATATTTTTTACATTTAACCTATTGGTGGCTTTACCTGGAAATGTGAAAAAATTACAAATCAGGTATTACATTTGTATATTATGTTACTTGAAACCTCTGCCAGTAAAATATTAAAACCAGACGAGTGAACTGAAGCATTTTGGCTAAATCTGTTACAATTTTGACTTGTCAGTCTGGAAAAAAAGAAGTTTGAGGCCTCTCAGGTATATGAATCCTGGGCAAGTCTCTTTACCTTCTTAGGGTGGTGTCAGATGGTCTTTTGCAACCCTTCTTACAACTATTATAGATCTTTTATGTGAGCTCTGTCTAACTTTGGTGCAGTGCTAGGGGATGAATGTGAGAAGTGATCAAGGGAAGTGATTCTTCTGTTCTGTTTAGTACTGGTGAGGCCTCATTTGAAGTAGTGATTATGAATGAGAGTGGTTAAGCAGAGCATTGGAACAAGATACTCAGAGAAATTACAGATTGTGCACCCTTTGAAACTTTCAAAAGCAGTTTGGAAAGACACGTGGCTGGGATGGTTTAGTCAGAGACGATCCTGCTTTGAGCAGGGGACTGAACTATGAGATCCCTTCCAGCCTTACTTTCCTATATGATGCCTATATATAGCCCTGGGGCCATGCACCATGCAGGCTGCATAAACAATCCCCCACTCCCAGCACGTGGCCCCCCCATGCAGCCTAGGCAATAGCACACTGTTCCCCTGCTCCCCCCGCACATTGCCCCCCACAGCATCCAACACATGGCAGCAAAAGGGTTGGCCACTGGGCCCCATGAGCCGCATATTAAATGCAAGCCTCCAGTTGGACAGTCCTGTTTTATTTCATGTATCAAACCAAGCGTTTATGGAAGAGCAGATATCTCAGACTTGTGTTCATTTGGAAACTGAATCAAGGCTCACTGAAGTTAGTAGATTCCAAATGTGTTCAAAAAAGCTTTAGATCAGTTTAATCTGAATTAAAGTATATAACCAGAACAAAGAAACAGTTTTTATAAATGTTAATTGAAACAAGATAGGTGAATGTATAAATCTTCTTGAATCCTTTGTTTGGTTGGAAAATGAGGTAATGAGTACCAATTGACTAATAACAAAAGAGTCTAGAACTCTATTGCTTTTAAAACCAATGGCATACCCCACTCTGTTTCTGAAGTCTGTGGTATTGCATATACAACTGCTGTGATTTTGGCCCTCAGTTTAGGACTGAATCCAGACCACACACCAGACTCACTAGTGCAGAACATTTACTATCATGTCACAAAACCAGCCCTCTAGAGAGTTTAGAAATGCGCATTACCGCTACCTTCAACAACTTGGCTTATTTTGTCATGCATGTGGATTAAATCTGTTCTTTAAATTAAAACCATTTCTTATGAAATTTTCACTTAAAATTACATTACCAAACTTCTTCAGAGCAGCTTTTCTAAACTAAATCACTGTGCTGTTTTAATTTTTTCACCAATATTATTTGTCTGTATGTAGGAAAAAAGGGTTTCAAAACTACCGTTGAATACAGCTCATTTAAGTAATTGCTTGTGAACTATGAACTATGGAAGTCCTTTGCACATCATTTTATTAAACAGTAATTTCCTCCTTAATAAATTCAGAAGTGTTCTCTCAGTTCTTTCTTTGTTTTTTTTTTACCAGTGACGATAGTGAGTCCATTAAGTACACAGAACTTTCTCTGGTTTTATTTTCTGTTTTGCCAATCTTGTGACATTTGAAATTACCAATTTTTTTCCTCAAACTTTGTTTATTAGTTCTCTGGTTAAAACCTTTAGACAGACTTCAGTCCTGAAGCTCTGTTCCTCAGACAATAAAAGCTTGGTAGTTCAGGAACACTGAACTACTATCCCTAGATAACTTTTACTCTGGTATTTCAGTGGAAGGAGTAGTAAATGGCCATACACTTCCCTTCACTTGTGAAAGCATCCAGGAGAGGAGCAAGGACTTCCTGAGGCCCACTCACAGTGGAGAGATGCTGATTTAACTTCTTTAACCCCATGGGGACCTGGAGATGGCATGGAAGAGTTAGGGGCACTACCAATATGCAGCTATGACTTCTTAATGTGATAACTAATATAGTTTCACTAGTCAATTGTCCATCAAGAATGACGGGGGTGGGTGGGGATGGAGCCCCGTGCCCCACCCCACCCCTGTCTGGGCCCACTCCCCCCTTCCCTCCTGCTGCTTGGAGTCTGGCCCATTCCCTAAACCCCCTGCCCCTGTGGCAGGGTGAAGGGAGGAGTGGACCTGAGCCCAATGCAGAGGAGGACTGGACCCAAGGGTGGGGAGAAGCCAGGCCGCCACAGCGGGGGGAGCAGCAGGCCTGGGCTGACCCGGTGGCAGGGGGACTGGAGGAGCGGGCTTAGGGCCAACGTGGGAGAGAGGGGAGGGGGGT